ATTTGAGGGGAGGAAGATGATTACAAAGGGGCACAGGGAAATTTTGAGGATAATGGAAATGTTCTATTATCACTATCGTACTAACATTCACACAGCAGTTCATATTTGTCAAAACATCAAATTGTACACTTAAAATTGGTAACTTTCATTGTTGTAAATCTTACCTCAATGCACCTTATTTGAAGAGGTACAAAGGGTAAAAGTCCATTATCTGAAAGGTTGGGTATTCCTTTAAAGGCAGAAAGAAGAGGGAGGACTTGCATTTGTCTTGGGAGAGGATCCGGGGACTGCTGCGTCCTGGGTGGAAGAGCTATCTGGTGAGGTTGGTTTCTTGAACCCAGGACAGACATAAGCCACAGATAAAGTCTCACGGTCTCCCCTTTTCGGAAGCATATTACGGCACAAAAAATTTAAGCACTTTTGCATTAATATTTATTTTGTAGTGAAATAGTCACATAATTGGTGAAGATAAAACACCAAAACCAAATGAAATCTGCCCCCAAGAGGTCCTTCACATTACCCCAGATCCTGCGAACACCACTTACTGTCCTCAAAAGCTTCTCTTGGGAGGCAGAGAGAAGTCTGCGTGTTCTACACAAGCCCCCCACGTGGCTGGCATCAGCATCCTCCCCTTCCCATCTTTCAAGGCCGTACTCAGAGGATCCCTCCCTCCCCCTTTTACTCCTTGTAGTCTCTTATGACCACCTTCCTCATAACGGTTGTGAAAAGACAACTTCCACTCAACTTGGAAATGATTCTCAGCTTGGAGTACCGTTTCTGGCACTTTGGGAAAGCATTCTGGATGGGCACACTTACAATTTCCTTCCTTTTCCTCTTCACAGAGACAGAAAATTCTGTCACCTTCTACTGAGAAACCCATACTATCTCACCTTTCCCTCTAATAGACTTCCAGCCCAGAAACATGTCAGCTCTAAAATGGGATTCTATTGTAACCAATGCAATAAAACTTCCTGGGACTCAGGCTTTCAACTCTGGTGCAAGAACAAAGAGAGACTTGATATTTATAATGAGCTTATGGCTCAAACAAACAAACAAACAAATAAAACAATGAGAGAGACTCAAAGCAAGATATTTCTGTCAAAGTACAACCAGGACTCTTAAGGCTAACTGCTAAGTTACTGACAATTGGTCAACTAAAATGGAAAGTAACACCACCCTTGTGCCTCAAAGAGCTTGAAAATGGAGCAATGATAGCAGACACTTACCAAGCCTTCACTGCCAGACAAAGCCAAGAAAAGTCAGTCCAAAGCTAAGAAAGGGGAAAGCCAGGGTTTGAACACAAGCAGCCTAAGAACCTTCATTTCTAACTCCTATCCTATATAATAAAAGGCTAATAGGCACATCCACCAAATGGTGGAATGACTGGCCGCTATGAATGCACTGACCACCAGGAAGCAGATGCTTAATGCAGGAGATAGCCCCTGGTGGTCAGTGCGCTCCCACAGGAAGAGCGCCACTCAGCCAGAAGCCAAGCACAGTGGTGGTGGCAGAAGCCTTTCCCTCCTCCTCCAGCAGCGCTAAGGATATCCGACTGATGGCAGCGAGAGGGCCTAAGTCATCAGTTGGACATCACCCAAGGGCTCCCAGACTGCAAGAGGACGAAGGCCAGGCTGAGGAGCCCCCTCCTCACCGCCCTGAGTGTACAAATTTCATGCACTAGGCCTCTAGTACCAACATAAGTTCTATTTCAATTCCCCAGTGAACATTCCTTCCAGACATTTCCAACAGGAGGTCTATATCCAAAATTAAGTCTCAACCTAATTAACAACACTTCACCAAGCCTCATTTAAAATCAATAAAGATCACATTTCTCCTCATTTCATTGCTTTTGTCCTGATACTTTCTCCTTACACTGAAGAGTACTATCAGAGTTCTTATCCGAACTCCTTTTTGTCCTCCTTTCATCTGAGGGACTGATAAGGATTTTCTTTCTACTGAAGTCCAGAATCTTCTTTATTTCTGACCTCCTTCCTCTGAGAGAGCATCATGCTGGCATCTTGCAGTCCTAACCAGACAACAGCTTTTATCTTTCTTACGGACTGACCCACACTTTCATTAGGCACAAACAGGATTTGGACTGAACCATCGAATGTACTTCAGAAACATCCTCAGATCCTCTTGTTGCAAAAGCATAGGTCCTTGTGGAAGAGGTGGTGGAATTTCAGTTCAGTTGGTGTTCCACGCAGGATCCTAAACTCCTATTTGCAAACTGGAGCTTCCAGCTGAGGCATCTGAGCAGTGGATCATCTGATCCACGCACTACAACACACTCAGGTGAATGAACTTTGCACTCAAACTGCCTGACTTCAGACAAAACAGCATAGAGCCTTCCCTGCCTCCCGCATTTTCTGAGTCATTGATTCCCCCTTTGTTTTGAGAAAAATTGGAGTGTGCCTTATTCTCTTAAAGACTGAAGGAAATCAGAGGTTTTGAATTCCATCCTTTGGGGGTCCTGGACAGCTCCATGTGGTCTGAAAACTATTTCTAGTTGTTTCAGAGTGATTGGCACTGATTCAAGGAGGTAGTCACAGCTGGGCCTGGTAAAAATGGGGGGTTGGGAAGTCAGGCAGTCCTGCCTCAGGGGGACGGGAACAGGGCTAGGGCCAGGGAGATGAAGGAGGATTCTAGTCACCAGGATTAAATTTGACTCCCAGGGCAAACAATGTATCTGCAAACATCCCTCCCCTAGTTTGAGTGTGAACGCAAGCATTTTCCTTCAAACAAATCGGCTTACAGCCAATACAGTACAACACAGCTGACTGCTTCATTTTTCACAGAGAGCCAGCGTTTGCCAAGCTCCTGGTATATTCCAGACCCTGTACTTCACATACTGACACAAAGCAAAATGCATCAAAATGAAAGAGGGTTCAGCCTGTCCTTGTAAGCCCGCCTCTATCATCTGTGGGGCCTGGGGCAGAGTACAAATGGAAGCCCTCATAAGGACTACTTTAAAGTGCTAATTAAGCTAGCAAATGGTCACATAATCCTCCACCCTTGACAAATCTAGCTTTATAACCACCCGGAGTCCAGGTACAGTATAGAATTCTCAGAGCCCGCAGAGTTTTAGGCCAGACTGGAAAGAGACGCGCTGGCCAATGAACAGATGCCTTCCCTTCCCCACCCAGGCTGTCTCACGGAGGGGGTGGGGGGATGGGGGGCTCAGCACACATTTGCAAGCTATTCCACAACCCCACACAGCACAGCTGCCCTTTGGGCACTCCTCAGGGATGGAGCCTGCCTTCTCTGCTTGAAAAGGCCCAGAAAGCAAGCTTGGGGACTTTGGGCAGGAATTCCATCAATGTCTGGGGCTTGAAGGTCTGTGAGGACTCAGCTCAGTGGAGAGGGGCACAGCCTGGGGAAGGTCAGACCCTGCCCTCTAATCCTGGGCAGTAAGAGTAAGGGGTTTCCTTGCCCAGGTCCAAAGCACACTGCCTTCTCTATTTTATTCTAGTAATTAAGTCGACTTTTCTTCCTTAAGGATTTCTAGAAGGGAAACTCCTTATATCAAACACATGCTCGCTCACGCAGGTGCGCGCTCCAGTACACACACACACACACACACACACACACACACACACACTGATATAAAGAGAATTTCTGTATGGAATGTATGAAATAAAAAAAGCTGAAATACTTGCAGCTGCCCTAGAGAGATCTGGCAGCTGAAATACTGGTCTGAAAGAAAGAAAAAGTAAATATTCCCCAAAAAGCAAATGGGTTGAACAGTGTTCTAGAAAATCAGAAAGATAGGGTCCTTGTCCTAGGGCATACACTGGGCAAACCTTAAACGTTTCTTCTGCTTTTGGAAATGAGTCCTACCTAAAGCAGAGAGACACGCCCCCCTCAAAAAAAAAAAAAAAAAAAGGAGAGAGAGAGAGAGAGAGAGAGAGAGAGAAAACAGATGAAGAAGCAGAAGCACCTGAGGCCACAGTCAGAATCCTAGGAACCACCGTCCTGAGTCAACTGGGCAAGGGAGGTTTGGGTGAAAAAAAAAAAAAAAAAGGGAGCCAGGACCGGTTTGGCTCAATGGATAGAGCGTCGGCTTGGGGACTGAAGGGTCCCGGGTTCGATTCCGGTCAAGGGCATGTACCTTGGTTGCGGGCATATCCCCAGTAGGGGGTGTGCAAGAGGCAGCTGATCAATGACTCTTTCTCATTGATGTTTCTAACTCTCTATCCGTCTCCCTTCCTCTCTGTACAAAATCAATAAAATATATTTTAAAAAAGAAAAAAAAAGGAGAGAGAGAGAGAGAGAGAGAGAGAGAGAGAGAGAGAGAGAGAGAGAGAGAACAGATGAAGAAACAGAAGCACCTGGGGCCACAGTCAGACTCCTAGGAACCACCTTCCTGAGTCAACTGGACAAGGGAGGTTTGGGTGGGCTGCAAACGGAGAGGCCTCCCGAGAGAGCCTCCAGTGGCAAGTGGAGGGGGTCACAGCGGATGGAGGGGGAACCAGTGGGGTGAGTGGCCAGGACCTGGGCGTCACCACTGACCCGGTATTAGCTTTGCCTTTTCTTAGTCAAGTCAATCTGCCCACTTTCTGAGCCTTCATTGTAATTCTCTAAGCCTGGGGATCTGCTCGCATCACATGGCCGTAAAGCCCAGAACTCCGCTCAATCCCTCGCTGTAACTGCTCAGTCAATGGGTCCTCATGTAGAACTGAGAGCGCAGGGCCAGAGCTGGAGCTGAACCCAAGCTGCCGATCAGGCAGCTCCCCACCACCTGACCCGACCTGCACACCCAAGATGGGTGTCTGCAGGATCCCGCACTGGAGGCGGAGGTGGGGAGGTCCAGACTTTCGGGACAGAGGCAAGCCAGAACAGCTGGGGAAAGGCACCCACAGGTCAGGTGTCAGAACCCTGTTGGGGAGAGGCCGAAAGTCACCGGGTTGGAAGTGCAAAGGCCGGCGTCTAAGACAATCTGTAAGCCCCCGGGACGGGAGGAAGCCGGCTGGGCCGGCGGCAGGGAAGGGGCCGCTCACCCAGCAGCAGCAGCTTGAGCTCGCGGCGCGCGTCCTTCTTGTCCCGGCGGAGCTGCCGCTCGATCTCGGCGCTGATGCGCTGCGACTCCTTCTCCTCCGCCGACAGGCAGCAGCAGCCGGCCATGGTGCGCCCCACCGGCCGGAGGCCGAGCGCCGGGTCCTGCGCGGCCGCCCGCGGGGCCGACCCGCGAGCCAAGGCTTGAGTTTCGGGGGAAGAGTCCTGGGCCTCCGGGATCCGATCCCTCCGAGGCGGGGGGAGTCCGCAGTGCTGGGACCGGCCGAGTGCCCCGGGCCCAGGGCTCCCGCAGCCCGCCCCGCTCGGGGAGGAGAGGACGAGCTGCGCTCCGCGGGGAGCGATGCTGACCTCCCTCCGGGAGATGCGCGCCCCTCGGCACGGAAGCCCGGCGCCCAGGCAGAGGGCGCAGACCGCGCGTAAAAAAGTTGGGGCGTCGGTGCCCCCAGGGAAAGCGGGCTCTCCCGGGGCTGGGAGTTCCCCGTGCAGGCTGCGGGCACGGCGAAGGTCAGAGGCAAAGGTCCTGGCTGTCTCTGGCCTGGAGAGTCCCGCAAACCTCAGCAGCGTCCCCGAGGAGGACTCAGACCAAGTGAAAAGGTCCCAGCCGGCACTTATGGCTCAGACTGCCAGGAGGAGGCGGGGCGTCTTGAACCTGCAACCCTGGCCTCTGCACACCGAGCCTGGGGGCACTCCACGCTGGGGGCGCCTGTGGGTGAACGGGGGAGAGCAGGGAGCTGGGGTTGTGGGGGGTGGGGGAGCAGAGTCTGCGGGAGCAGTCCCCAGACCTGCCCCCCTGACTGCGGCGCCCCGGCGTGGGGAGAGTCGCCTGGCGAGGTTGCTGTGACCCGGACTCTCTGGCGGACAGGCCCTGCTCCCTGCCTAAATCCGGTTCCCACAGGTGAGCGAGTTTCACCAGCTCCCAGCCTCAACCCTCCCCAGCTGCAGGAGCAGAGGGAAGCCAAGCGCCGCCGTGGGGTGCAGCGTGCCGGAAACACCGCACACCCTGGTTTCCTAAACCTGCTCCTCCAGCTGCCCAGCGCCCCAAGTCCAGCTCGAGGGCTTGGTCAAAGCCCCTGGTCAGCTCTGCCGCCTGCCTTCCAGGTGCGGCTAGCTCCAAGCCGGCTGGCATTGCGCTCAGAGAAGCAGCTGCCACTGAGCTCAGTTAAATAAGAGAAATCCAAGAGTAAATATCCTCCCAGTCCCTTCCTATACCCCCGGATGAGGAGGGTTGGGGCTGGGGAAATGGAAAACGGCTGCTGCTTTGCATTTTATAATGAAAAGACTCCTGCTATGCAGAGAGGAGAGCGGATTCGTTTCCAGCAACACCTGGCATGTTCCCTGCCCCTGAAGCCTGACAGCACCTAGCAAAGGTGTGTCCTCACAGCCACCTTGGCCTGGCTCCTGGAACTTGGAGCAAGTTTGAGCTGCACTGATACAAAACAAAACAAGTAAAGATTGAAAAGCACCTCTTTGTACTCAAATGGCACTATAAGATGCAGATTACAGCATCTGATTTTGTCTTCTAGGTAGATTTTGAGGCAAATAACTGGGAAAAGCAGAAAAAACAAAAGGAAAGGGAGAGGTTCCTGCCCTCCACAGCACTGAACTTTTTTTGTTTGTTTGTTTGTTTCTTTGTTTTGTTATTTTTCCTTCTGTTCCTCAAGTCAGTATATGCCATTTAAACCACATTATGGCCTTAGGTAATGAGCTAATGCTCCCTTTATTAAGAGCAAGCAGAAGTGCCTTTCATAGGAGTCGAATACATTTAATCAATTCAAATGGAGCATACTGAGTGGAGAGAGGGGTATATGTCATTATATAAAGAACTTGGCATTATGATGCTATCTGGCTGAAGATCTTATTTATTTTACAATTTGGAGAACGTAGACAAATCAGGCATTGAAAATGAATGTGCGTGCTTAAATACATAACTTTATTTCCATCTGTTACTGACTTGTAGACAGTAACAGTGACCCCTACAGGAAAACTCCTCAACATTTCCCGTTTAATCCTTGGCCATTTAGTCACACCTATTTCCCTTCGCCCTTACAGATTCCTTTACAATTTGAGATAAGATCTAACTCCTTAAACTAATAGTTGCATCATAATTATTTGTATTTTTTAATTATTAAAATTAGGGCAAATTTGAACTTCACATTATTTGGAATAACTGGTCTAAAGTTGCTAAGATTTCAGAAAAGATACAAAATATTATTTATAGTAAATCTGTGAAACTTTCCTGGACCATACAACTTAGTAGTATGTATCACAAGTTTTAAATGTGTTCCTCCCTTTTGACCAAACTGATATTTCTCTCCTTAAGAAATAATCAGAAATCATAATTTAGGTGCAAAGGTTTTATTTCTAATAACAACACCAGTGCAAAACAACCTAAGTGCCCAACAACAAGAAATAAGTCACATAAATTATGGTATATCCAACCAATAAGATATCATACAGTGACTATGTGAATATGTGAGTGACAAATTGGAAAATAACAAAGATTTGGCAGAACTCAAAATATATTTAGTGAAATGGCAAGATACAAAAATATAAACAATGCGATACAAATTTTACCCTGGGAACACACATAGGCATTTTTAAGAAACTAAAGGGATGTATAGTCACAAGGTAAGTTGCTCATAGCTCTTTGGTTGGTTTTAATTCCCTGATATAAAATTATTTGGGGCAGCTCTATTAAAGTCTTCTAGGCCCTACTTTCCTCAGCTGTAAAACAAGAGTGATGAACCAGATCAAGCTCAATGGGATCTCCTAAACGTACCATTCAATTCTTTGATGATTTTCACACTTACATGGTAGTCTTAAAGATAATCACAAACCTGTTTTTTATTGAACATTGGTAGCTAGTGAGAACTATAAAACTAGGATATCACAAGTCAATTATTTTTATATTACTATTTTTTTATTCATGTTACCTTCAGGATCTGGGTGCAGGATGAGAATAATTTTAAGTTATTAATTTATTTGTAATATCTTACCAGGAAGGACTAGTTTTGAAAAAAGATTTTAGTTAAAGAGAATGTTTGTTTTCCTAGGTTATTCCCAAAGTCCTGCAATTCAATGCCATTCTCAAAGAACAGAGCGCAGCCAGGACATGTGTTTCAGATAACTGCCAAGTGCTGGGCCACGAAGGTGAGCTCATTGAAATTCCACTGAATGTTCTTGGCATACATGCCAACCCCTGTACCAGGTACTGGGGGTTTAGATAGCAAGACTTTGCAGACTTTAGGTAGACCGTAGTCTGGGAGAAAGAAGTAAGAGTGAGACACTGAAATCTGACCGCACCACATCTTTCTTGCTCCCAAAGAGTAGACAGTGAGGGCTCAGAGTCACGTGGGTGACTCCACAGTCCACAACTGTGCACAGTGGGCCTCATTTCCTGTCCCTCTGCTGTCACTCCAGAAAAATGTACCTACATGTTCTAGCCACCTCCACGTCTTAGCACATGCTGTTCCCTCTTCCAGGAGTGTCATCTCACCTGAGGCAAAACTAGTTACTAGGTACTTTCTTTTCCAAATACCTGTGTTCTGAGTAGCCGCTCCACCCCTGGTCCGTTAGACCCATCTCTCTCTGCTGCCTGAGTACTTTGTGTCCCTCTCTTTAATATCTCGCTCTAGTTCACTTGTTGGTTTCCCCTTCTGATCCACTGGTTTCTCACAGGCGGAGAGTTTTTCTTGTTCATCCTGGTATTTCTAAATTAATATAAATTTAGTTGACTGAATAAAGTTGAAAACAAGAAGAATTAGCCAGAGACAAGAGAAAGAAACTCAGAGAGAAAAGGAAGTTCTTGTGATGGAAGACAATGAAAAACCAACAAGTCTATTGTTGTAACAAATCAATGTATGATTTAGGGAAGACTTGGGTCCCCAATTTGCCCCCAGAGAGGAAGTGACCATCCTGTTTCTAATTCAGAACTACGAGGAAATGTGCAAGCAGAGGACGGGGAAGATGCTGTTCTCTTGGACAAATGTACCACCTTAGAACTTCAACAAGTGACATAAAGTAAACATATGGCCTTGAAATTTACAAAGTTGAAATAGCACTAATACTAATGCACGGATGCTGCTCTGTGGCAGTGTTTTTTCAAACTGCAGTTGTGACCCATTCCTGGATTGTGGCAATCATATTTATATGGAAAACACAAAATATAAGCAGAAAATATCAAAGTATGCTGCAGTTTTATTATTGTTTCACGAAACTTTTGCTTCCATTGTATACATAGGCATCAAATGTTAGGCAGATCAGTCATCAAGAAAGGTCTGCTTGTCCTTTCCCCAGGCAGGATGGACTAAATGATTCTCAATTTTCTAATACATTTTTTCTGAGACCAACAGGTTCCTAATTTTTCATTCCATTTTTTGAGCACAGTCTGCTTTCTATAATGTTTTGAGTTCTTCTCCCCTCTTACCACTCCCAGCCATTCCCCACCCAATAATCTCCAGTTTCGGATGAGCATGGTAAGTTAGAGATATCTATTTTTTGTATATCTTTATTGATTTTAGAGAGTAAGGGAGAGGGAGAGAGAAATAGAAACATTAAAAGAGAAGAGCCCACAACCCTGGCATGTGCCCTGATCAGGAATGGAACTGTGACCTCCTGGTTCAGAGATCCACACTCACCACTGAGCCGTGCCCTGCTGGGTGAGATAGCTGTCTATTGTCTGCCCGTTGTGGACTTTGAATGAATTGAGTGTAGTGATGGATGTTTAGATGAATGGGTAATAATTCTATCTGGTGGACTGATGTCCTCAACATCTATTTTTCTAAGCCCATCAACATGCTATCATGTTGTTCCAAAATATTCTCTGCTTGAAGACCAGAAACTGTTTATTATAACTTGTACTAAAAAGACTAAAATTACAGTCTTGCACCACACAACATTTAGGTCAATGGTAGACCCCATACATGATGGCAGTTTCATAAGATTATAGCAGAGCTGAATCTCCTGTAAGAAATGGAAGAATCTGTGGATCGGAAGGATTTTTTTTTTCTCTCTGGTGAGCCCAGCATCTGTGGGGCTTTGCAAGAGATTCCCTTTCACTCACAGTCCCTCCATTTTGAGTGCACAGATTACATTCCAATCAGTCGGCC